GTGGATCCGCGCCCACACGCAGCCCCTGGGGCTCAGCACCGCCACCTCTACCCGGATGAGGAAGCCAGGCAGTGCCTGGTTATTTTGCCACATATAACTTACCTGGGAGTAATCCGCTTGCTCCATCTCTTCCAGCAGGATCCGAAGCGGTTGCAGGTAGAGGCTGATGTCCTTGGCTTCCTCCAGGCCTGGGCCAGGGGAGAAACTCCACGTCAGGGATGGGGAAGCCTCGCCGGAGCGGCGAGAGGCAGCTGCCCACCACATCGCCCGGGGGCTTACCAGCGCTGACATCCCTGAACATGCTCTGGAGCGCTGGCCAGTAGCAGCTGTTGGCCTTCTCCAGCATCTCGGCCAGCACCGTCACTCGGGGCGAGAGCAGCTGGGAGACGAGAGGTGGTGGGCTCAGCACCGGGGGCTCAGCACCGGGGACACGCAGCTGCCAACCGCTTGTGGGCGAGACGGTACCTGGTTGTTGATGCACTGCAGGTTGACCGTCCTGGTGTGCCAGAACTCAAACTCTGTCCTGGGCAGGGGGTGCAGCCCCTCCAGCAGTGGCTGTGCCGAGTCCTTGCTCAGGATGTCTCTGATCTGGTGGGACCACTCGATGACAATGGTCTCAATGGAGTGCAGCACCGAAACATCCACAGGCCCCGCCAGGCTGAAAGGCAGCCGGGTTACGCTCCAGCACCGGGACTGGCCCCAAACTGCCCCGGGGGAGCCCTGCTGCCCCAGGGGAGCCCCGCGCACCCACTTGCAGCCACCTCCACCAGCACGGCAGCCCAGCACGAGCTGCTTGAAGGTGCTCTGCTGCTGAGGGGCAGCTGGGCCCAGGGATGCTCGGGAACCGAGCTGGCACCCTGGCTCCCAGCCCTCCCAGACGGACTTGTGCCGGGCCCCTGCCAGGCTTTGCTGGCACCGAGCTGTGCTGGCAGCACCCACCAGTCCAGGACGGTGCTGGAGTCAGCCTGGCTGTCCAGGTGCTCCGGCAGTGGGAGCAGCGGCTTCCCCTGGATCTTCCCGCCCATCACGAACATCTCGTTCTTCAGCCGGTGGGCTTGTCGCACAACGTCCTCCACCACCACCCTGGGCCAGCCTGCCACGTTCTCCTCACTCAGGAGCAGGGGGCACACGACCTAGAGGAGAGGGCTTGGTCGGGCGCTCGGTTGGGAGCACCGGGTCTCCCATTGCAAAGGGCAGCGCGCAGCGGCGCTGGTTTGCACAGCATCCCCTCTTGCTGCCCATCCGAGCCCTGTCTCAGCCCAGCCACAGCTCCGGCAGCCACGGATGGGTTTTGCTGATGTTTTTCTTGTCAGCACAACCAGGAGTCCCCTCACTCTGTGGCGGGTTTCCAACTCATAATTTGGGAAGTGCTGGGAGCGGCGCAGTGAGTGCACCCAGCGGCGTCAGAGGCTGGTGCACAAGCAAAAGCCCCCGGCGTTGGAGAGGAGGAATTGTGGGGGCTCCTGGGGCCTGACTCAGCTCTCAGGTGCTCTGTGCTGGCCGTCCTCTGAGCGGGAATATTTATGGGAAGTTGGGGAGAAATCCACTCAGCCATTTCCCAGCTGCGGGGCACGGGTAAGGGGGAATTACGCTGAGTTTTTAAAACCACAGGGAGGAAGCGAGCGAGCTGGACCCAGGGAGAAAACCAGGCTTGTGACCTTCACCCAGCTCTGTGTCCTGATGGGGCTCGGTCAGCCCACCAGCACAGTGGGGCAGGCGGCTGGGAGCCACCGCGAGGCCAGGGCCAGCGCCTGGGGCAATTTTGCTTCTATTAATGTCCTTTAGTTGCTTTTCGAGCCCACCTAAAGTTTTGGCTGCAGCAGCATGCAGCGGGTGTCCAGGCGGCAGCGGAGTGTGCGGGGAACTTGGCTTGTCCCGCCTGCCCCAAGCCTGTGTCCAGCACCCACCCGCACGGGTGACCCACCTCCTCCACCACGGTGATGAGCTGCTCCACCGGTGAGGGGCCGATGTCTCCCACCAGCAGCCTGCTCTGGCAGTTCTCCCGGGTGATGTTCTCCCTCTTCTTCTTCACGAAGTAGACACCCTTGCCCCTGAGGGTGGGTGGGAAGCAGGCGGTTGGTAGGAGCTGCCCGGCAGGGTTCAGCCCCAGCACCAGCTCCAGCATGTCCTGCTGCTTGAAGAACTCGTCCAGCACAGCCGCGGCCTCCTCACTGCCCACGAACTTGCTCCACTTGTCTGGCCGGAGCCGCAGCAGCAGCGTGGTGAAGCTCTCCAGGAAGCCATGCCGCTCATCCGGCACGGCTGACATCCCGCCGGCACGGGGCTTGGCCACCGCTCCCCAGCGCCTGCGGGGGGGGCAGGCGAAGCCCCGCTCAGCCAGAGGCTGTGCAGACCCCAGACCCCAACCCTCCATGCTCCCCTCACCACCGCCCCCACCGCTGCCCTCAGCCTTCCCTCTGCACACAGCAGCCTCGTGGGGAGCTGCCGGCCCCATCCCTGCCCTGCCCCATCGCCTCCCTGGCTCCATCACCCCCCAGCCTGCCCCATCCTTGGCCCCATCACCCCGCAGCCTGCCCCATCCCTACTGCCGCACCCCGCAGCCCTCCAACAGGCTCCAGTCACCGTCCGCAGCCCAACTGACACTGGCTGCAGCCCCAACTGACACCAGCACCGGCCCCAACCGACACCAGCTGCAGCCCAACCGCCTCAGAGCTGCAGGGCTGCTCCCCGCCGTCCCCCAGCATCCCTGCCCGGCGTCCCTTGGCGAGGGCTGTTTGCCCACGCACCCACCACCCTACCCAGACTCACAGCATGGTGCCAAGGGCTGCCTTGTCCAGGGGCAGGGTTTGTGGTGAGGGCTGCCCCCGGCTCTCCAGGTCCCCACCACGGCCCAGGTCTCTGCCCGAGCGTGTGGGCAGCTGGACCAGCCTCCCCTAGCCCCAACATGGCCAGTGCAGGCTCTGTGACTCCTAGCTCGCCCTTGGCCCCGACGTAGCTTTCGATCACGTTCCCATTTACAGCTGGTACCCCCCGGGGGAGGTTTGATACCCTGGAGCCCAGCACAGGACCAGGGCTGGTGCAGTGGTTCCCCCACCAGTCCCCATTGCAGGCAGGGCAGGGCCCCTCCACTCCCTGGTGCTCAGCCATCCAGCAGCTGCCAGATGAGAGCTGGGATGTGAGCAGGGGTACCCGAGGGGGTGCCCCACCACCCCTGTGTCTCAGGCCCCTCACACCGGTGCAGTGCACGCCGCTGTGCAGCCAGGGGTCCGGCCCCGCATGGTCCAGCCCGCAGGTCCCTGCAGGCGGGGGGCCGCCCCTCTGCCAGCCGAGCTCGGTGCCAGCCCCACTGCACACTGGGGGGGGGTGGGGGGGTGGCACGTAGGATACAGGACCAGAAGCCATCCCGACGCAGCACAGCCCCCCTGCACCCTGCGGCGAGGTCCCCAGGGAACCCTCCTGGCAGCCAGGTGCAAGCTGAGGGGAGCTGGCGAGGGCACAAGGCACACAAACACCTTCCAGCGCACCAAGAAACGAGAGGCCTTCAACTGGAACAAGCAGAGACTCAAACCAGGACCCTATTGGCCACAGCATTGCCAGCTTCATCCAACATGGCATGGTTACAGGGCTGGGCACTGAAATCTTGGGGCTGGGAGAAGCATGAACCTGGTCGCAAAGCCGTGGCACAGGGCAGGGGCGGTGGGGGGCCGGGGGTCTCGCCTGTCCCGAGCCGTACACAGAGCACAGGAGACCAAGGCTGAGCACTGTTCGGTGTTTATTTGCTGCAGATCCTCAGCACTAGTTTACAAGGCCATGGCAAAAAAAAAAAAAAGTTAGAATAAAAAATCCTGCCACCCCCCGCCCTCCGGAGAGGCCTCTGCACAGAACGACCCAACATACAAAATAATCTAAAAGGAGAAAACTATACAGGAGTATTTACAGCTCTGATAAATAGACTAATACTGATCCAGGTGCCTCTCTCCAGACCATGTGCAGTGGCCAGGGGAACAGGACAAGACACGGGTGTTTGCAAGGCAGAGGCAAGGGGGCTGCAGCCCCCAGCCCAGCCGGACCCCCTCCGCAGCACCTGGCCCTGGCACAGGCTCCAGGCACGTCCCACCACCCACTCGGGAGCGAGAGCTTGTGCTCAAGATGACGGCCACCCCTGGCGTGGCCTCCCCCGCCCCTCACTGAGGGGATGGTGCTGCAAGGACATGCCAGGGGCAATGCCACCTGGTGCTGCCGGACCAGGGCCCTCATCCAAGCTCTGGCACCCCATGGCTGGGTGAGGACATCTGTGCCCCATGTGGCACCACTGCACACCGGGATGGTGACAAATCCCTGGCCCTCAGCCTTCCCTGCGCCCACAGGCGCCATCTCCAGTGCAGGAACGGCTGGGAGGGTCCATGGCAGCAGCATGGGGAAGCCCAGGACAGACCCAGGCCCGCTACAACGAGGGCCAGGAGTCCTGCCTCCATGGGGCCACCCCCCAGCTGCCCTGGGGCTGCTGCCCTTCACCCCGGCGCCTGCAGCACCCCAAAACCACCAGCTGCTAACCACCAGCTGTTCACCTTCCCGACGGGGCACCCCAAGTGCTTCAGGACACGGGTGGTGGGGGGGATCCAGCAACATGTGCGGCTGCATGCTGGCTGGGGCATCGGGAGCAGGGAGGGTGCCTATGGTGCCCCACTGCCCAGCCCTGGCTGGCCAAGGCGGGAAGGGAGGACGATAAACACACAGCACTCCCCATCCTGCAGCTGAGCCCAGGACAGGACGGGGCTCTCTGTGCACACGGGTGTTGCCATCCCAGCTCCAGCCCATGAAGATGCTGTCTGGGAGATGAGGCAGTGATGGGAGGGTCAGAGCCACCGAGACGCCTGTGCCCTCTCCCTCTCCCCACGGTAAAGAAACTGTGAAGCTGAAGCTGGGTCTTGGGCCCCAAGGGCCAGGCTGCAGCGCAGCCCCAGCCCCGCAGCCCTCTGGGGAGGGGAGACGCTTGGGCTGCCAGGGGCACGCTGGCCTCGCAGGGCCAGTGAAAGCTGCTAGTGCCTCTTGGTGGAGGACACCTTCTTCTTCCTGGCGGCCAGCATCTCATAGAAAGGGTCCCGGCTGATGGCTGCCCTGGCAGGGGAACAACGGCTTGGGTTAGCTGTACGGCCAGGCGAAAACTGCTGCAGGATTGGGTCTGGCCGGCCTGGCAGGGGCTTGGGCAGGTCCCTTTGTGCCCCTGGGAAAGCCCATTCCCCCCCATCCTTACAGGGCACCCCTCAAGCACAGCAGACAGGTCCCCACCGTGCCCCTGCCCAGCACCCTGCCACTCGCTCCTCCGAGCACTCACTTGATGCACTTGATCCACTCCTCCTTCTCCTCGGGCGTGGGGGCAGAGATGCGGTACACCGTGTGGTTCCCCTCCACCACCCGCCCGTCCGCCTCCGTCTTGCAGGCCTTGATCACCTGGTCCTTGTTGTCCGGGATGTAGAGCTCAAAGCAGTTCTGGGAGGGAGGAGACTGTTCAGAGGCAGCCCCCGCTTCCAAAGGGGATCCCAGGCTGGGATGAGGCAGAGGACGAAGGCTGCAGGCACTCCCCTGGCACAGCCACCCCCCCAATGCAGCAGAGAGGGATGGACATGCTGTGACCGTCACCCCACGGCCCCCAGGCATGCCCTGCCACCAGCCCTGGACACTGCCCTCCCGCCTCTCCCAGGGGCATCCCTCAGGGGCTGCAGCACCTCCCGGCTTTCCCTGCCCTGCTCCTGCCCCAACCAAAACACCAGGGCTGCCCCACCAGCCCCAGGGGACCCTGCTGTGGCACTCACGGGCTTTTTCGAGTCCTCCACCTCGCGGATGCTCAGGTTCTCCAGGGGGATGATGCCACGGGGCTCTTTATCCTGGTGGGGCCAAGCAGAGGCTTTAGCTGCAGGCTGGACAACTCCAGACCCCACCCGCGAGCCCCAGGCAGGGCTGGATGCTCCAAACACCCCTATCCCCAACACCCCTCTGCACAGGCATCTAGGGCTGCCCGTCCTGCACCCCTACAGTCACCGGCACCTCAGCACGGCAGGAGGCAGGCTGCCAGCCCCGCGCCGGGATGCTGCGCCCAGTCTGTGCCACGCAGGCAGATGAGCGCTGGGCCCGATCCGGCGCCCTTCCCTGCCCCGGCTCAACACACCCCAAACAAAGGTCACTGACCGTTGTGTACTCGAAGTAGTAAAGGCAGTTGTCGGTCAGGATGAACCAACGTCGCTTCCACGTCTTCACCCTGCCTCCTGGGAGCAGATAGGGGCAGGTTGGGCGCAGCCCCGGCGGAGCGTGGCCGGGACACGCGCCTGGAAGCTCGCGGCACATGGAGGCTACAGCAGAGCTGAGGCTCACGCAGACACACACAGACAAGCACCAGGCGCCGGGGCGCAAGCAGAGCCAGGCAGCCCGGCGGGCGCCGGGCGCAGCAGCAGCAGCAGGCAGCACACACCACGCCGGGCAGGGCACGAGCAGGAGCGGAAAGCAGACGGGATGAGGATGGAGGCAGAGGGTGGCTGGGGGGGCTGGGCCCAAAGCACTGAGCCCATTCCCACCCAAAACACTGATTCAGCATGGCCAGAGGACACTGCAGCCAGGCAGCTCTCGGGGGGACACAGGGGCTTTCTGTTCACACTGACCACGCTCCTGCTGCATCCTGGCCAGCACAGCCCACTGCTGGGGCAAGGCATGAGCCCAGGGCTACAGCTCGCGGACTTTTGGTCAGAGGGGGTTTCACAACCGCCACTGCAGAGGGAGAAGCCGCTCCCTGGGCTCAGGGATTGCTCGCCCCAGGCCCGGCTCCCCCTCTACCACGCCGGCGTGCTCTGGCCATCACAGCGGTGCCAGGCGTGCTGCCACCATGGGATGAGCACCCAGGCCGTGCTGGCCGGGGCCAGCGCAGATGTGAGGAGGCACTCTGTGCGCTGGGGGCCGTGCTCATCTCCCCCATCCCACGGGGAAGGCCCCGTGCCTCCTTGCTCCCCCGTGCCAGCTGCCACCCACCCCAGTGTCTGCCCCAGAGCCAGGCTGGGGCCAGCACTTCCTAGAGGAAAACCCCCCTCTGCCTCCCTCCAGCCAAACCCACCCCAAAACCCCGGGCTTGACCCTCTCCAGCCCCCAGCCCTCCCCAAGGCCACCTCCTCTCCCTCTCCCATGGGAAGAGGCCACGTGCCAGGGCTGGGTCCCACAGCACAGGGAGCGCAGGAGGAGCCCAGGGTTTCGGGCCCGCAGGGGCGCAGGGCTCCGTGGGGTCAGGCAGGGCCTGCAGAGCTGTACAGGACCAAGGGCTAGCGCAGCCCCAGGGGGAAACACTGACGCTCCCCGGCACCCCGGGGCTGCAGGTGGTGGAGCCAGGGCAGTGCCAGCACCCAGCACGGGGACTGCCATGAGCCCCCAGCACAGCACAGGGCACCACATAGGCGGCTCCTGCCTGCTCCCATCCAGCTGCAGGCACTCAGCACCCCCTGACCTGTCCTGAGAACACCCGAAACCCATCCCTCGTGGTGCTGGAGGCAAAGACCCACTGCGGCCGAACTGAGCTGTCTGCGAACACGGCGAAGCACGGACGGGTGGACGGCCCCTGCCAGCGGCTGGACAAAGAGCGGCTGCAGCCCTGTCCGTCCCCGGGCCGCGGGGTGCACCGGGGCAGCGGAGGGGGCCAGCAGGCCTCGGGGAGCGTTCGGCATCGATGGGGCCGGTACCCCGCATCCCTGCCCTGGCAGCATTGGGAGCGGGGCTGTCCCCTTGGCAGGCGAGGTCCCTGGGGCGGTGCAAGTGGTTAGCAGCAGCAGCAATGAGACTAATCACCAGCAATTAAAAACAAAAAGGAAACGAAGCCCCAGCGGCGTGAGCAGAGCGGGGAGAGGGGTACGTACCTCCTGGAGTTGGGGGCAAGGAAAGGAAGAGCCAAAATCATGGAAACATACAAATGAGGGAGAAAAGAAAATTAAAAAAAAAGAAAAAAAAAAAAAAAAGAGGAAACCCCAAAGAACCCCCCTTGCCCCGCGCAGGTCAGTGGCGCAGGGCTGCAGCAGGGAAGCCGTGAGGGGCCAGGCTGGCAGCACCGCTGCAGGGGCCAACCTGCCCTGGCTCGCTGTGGCTCTGTGGGACAGATCTCCTCAGCTGGGGGGGCACAGGGCCTGGCTCCCCCCGCCCCATGGCCTCCCTGTGGGGTCCCTCCCTGCCCCACTAATGGGCTGAGCCGTGGCAGCCGGGCTGGGGCCCACGGCTGCTCTGCCGCCTCTTCCGCCCCCCAACCACCCACCACGCCAACG